TATATATATATATATATATATATATATATATATATAATACATATATTTGTAAGTCGGAGAAAGAGAGGAATAATGTTAGAAGATGAAGAGACGTTAGAAGGAAAAGCTTCGCCCGCTTTCTCCAAGAGAAACCATTTCTCGACTTCGTTGAGATACGGAGATGAGGGGAGTTGAGTTGAGAGTAGGGGTGGTACGACAGGGGAAAAAGGTGAAGGTAGATGAAAACGAGAGAAAAAGAGAGGGAAAACGAGAGAGAGAGACAGAGAGAGGGACGGAGGTAAAGCGAAGAGGCAGCTCGCTAGAAGCTTCCTGTTCCCCGCCGGAAGGAGGAAACGCCTTTCCTCCATTCTTGCACACCCCCGTGCGCCGCCTAACCATCCTCTCATACCATCTCGTATCACTAAGGTACCCGGTACTTCGGTCTCGTTCACGACAACGAGATATTTAAACAGTCATCCCTTGGCTCGAGTGCAACTCTAGCAATGCGATTTAATATGTAATGTATTTTACGCGCAGTACATAATTTGTCTCGCCCAAACATACATATATAGATGTGACGAAAACTGTAGATGATATTTTCTAATTCTTTTTGTTAGTTCTAGTACATTCTGTTCCGATCGAAAAGAATTAAAAGCGACCAAATGTCGCTATATGAGATGACTACACTAAAATTTATAATATCGAATTATACCTAGTTATTTTTATTATTTATATTAGTCACTACTAATATCCTATTCGACGGCTGCGTTCGGAAACGTCGCTCGGATGCCTCTGATGCCTCGGAATCATCCGAGCAATATTTTCGAACGCAGCCAATATATCGTTAATTTAATTAAAACCATAGAGTTGAACTGTTCAACTAAAAAAATGTATTATTATAGTATTATAAAAATGTATTGCAATAAATTTGTGTGTGTGTGTGTGTGTGAGAGAGAGAGAGAGAGAGAGAGAGAGAAAGAGGGATTCAAATTTAGTTTATTATCTCCTAAAAAAGAAATGCGTACATTAATATGAACGTTGCTTACTTTGAAACTGGCCACAATAGAAATAGATTGATTTACACTTTGACATATATGTGGAAATTAAAAATAACAAAATGTTTATTTAACTCAAAAGGATTGAGTTGCCGTTTGGTCCTTCTCGATATCTAACAGCGTACGTACATAAAATGATCATAAAAAATATTTATCGGAAAAAATAACTCTTTCTTCCTCGAACACGTATCTAAAAATATCGCTATATTCTACGGAGCTTCCCGCAAAACCTTATCCTACTTTCGGTGGCCACATTTCGCTTTTAGAATTCAAACGTGCGCGAGCAGTAAAGCGACGGAAGGATGCTATAACTCCCGCGCGTTCTCTGAGACCTGGCGGTCTCTACGAGACTTCTGAAACGGCCTAAGAGGAATCAAATAAAATTCTCCTCAGTGACGAGAGGGAGAACATCGTCTGACGCGGTTATGAAGCGCCATGCACGTGCCTCGAAGAGAACGCGAAACGGAACGTCGCCATTTCTCGTAATACGATCTACATATCGCGATGCACGACTTGCGACTGAATAAATTCAGCGAAAAAGAAAAACGCGGTGTTATACGCGAAGGCTAGACTTACCCGTGCAAGTGGCCAAAAGACAAATCACCAGCAGAGCCGCTCGCTTCCTAGGCAACCTGCAAGCAGAAGAGGAGAACGGTGATTATTGATTGAGCCCCCTGGGCCAATCGAGGAGACGAATCGAGAGAAGAGTAATGCTCGACTTCGACTCGGCGGCTATCAGACTTGCGATTAGACGAATTAATCTCGCGTCATGTTCAACGCGCGCATTGGTACGCTTAATTAATTGCGCATTTGTGGCTTTCACGCGGATCTCTCACTCGAGATATTTGCCTGTGAGTGTTATAGAGTCGAGCGTTAATTTTCTAAAACCAATCTTCAATTCCTACTGCTGAAATGCTTTGCATTTTTAATCGAAGTTGCAAGTTGAATCTATTGCAGAAAGATGAAAAATCGGCAAAATACATTTCTATTTTTTTTTCTTCTTCTTTTTTTACTGTACTACACTCTTAACTTTGTATGATCGTGTAGCACTTATAAATTCGAGATACAAATTTCTAGACGAATATGACATACGTTTCGAGTTACACACTAATAGGAAGATGATAAATAGGAGGATAATAGAGAATAAATTCATGAGTAGTGATGTGAATATAACGATTCGATTGCAGATATCACTTGGAGATGCAAGACTTCTCGTAATTTACAAACCACCACCAGCATTTCGACTATGTTGACAAACGATCGACAACAGAGTCACATGGAACATAATCTGTTCCAGTACGATCATATAGGATCTGAATCGGATCCGGGTGGTAAATTTGTCCTCGTCGCAATGGATAACTTCTAATTTCAAGATTTCCACCATTTCGACCATTTTTCCTCTTTGGTAGTACTTATGACCTTCGTAATTTACAATACGTTAGGGTTCTTTTTCAACGTGTATCTCTAATTTTTGGCGATATAACAAAATCAAGAGCGCAATAAGTAAATTATATGGAAGACTTTTATATTATTCATTCGTTCGTACATCTAAATTTGATAGGCAAACAATGGAATTTTAGTAATTAGCTTTTGGAAAAGCTGAAATTAATATTACAATACTATCCAATTGATGATCGCTCTCGACAGAATAGAAAATATAACAATAACATGTTTCAATTTGTTACACGCAAACTATACGCATATCTGTATTAATGGTTTCAGAAGTGATACGATAAGCGAATCAACCAACGGATAGATGAATAGATAACCGCATTAAGCGGATTATATTCCGTTGGAATATCTCGGCCTGTGCGATCCAATAACAGGTATCATTTGCAATTGCAAGTTAAAAATAAAATCGCAACAATCCCAACTGACATTACAGAGATACGCCGTGTCGTGTCGTCGCGTTAAATTTCATGCCGTAAGTGACGTATTTTTTATAACGTGGCTCTCGCAATTTTTCCCTGGATCATAAACACCGCTGGTGCTCGTTTCGAAGTGACAAAACTCGGTTATCCGCCGTCGGAATTGCAGTGCTTAAATAAAGTTACGCAACGATACGGACACGATTATAAATTTGGCTGGAAACTTTAATTAAATTGGGTCAGAACGACGGCGGAATAACCTCAGGGTTAAAATTGTTGTTAAAATGATCGTAAATACAAGAGTATTATCACGATAAGCGCATACGCGTTGCGGTAATTATACGATGTCAACTTTCATATTCATTCTGCAATTAAACTGCCGGCTATCTATTTAAAATGACAAAACGGTAAAGTAACAAAAGCGTACATTTGAATAAAGTGCAAGAGCTTTTCTTCAAATCAAGTCCTGGAGAATAACGGTTTAAGTTTCATATTAAAATCATTCGTCTAGTATTTGATTATTAAACTACTCTATTCTCTCTTGCAAAATGTGGATCTACAACAAAGTAATGAATATTCAACGGTATAACGGAACAATAAAGTAATGAATATTTAGTAAGAAATAAGTGCAGACAGAAAGTTGCCGCATGAGTTCTCAAAACATCGAACAAGAGTATACTGCGCAAGACGTTTTTAAGTCAAACAGAGAGAAAAGGGAACTCTCCCGCTCGAAGCCTCTTTCGCAATAAAGTTTTAATCAAGTAAGAGAATAAAGAATTATATTTTCTGTCAAAGCAGATATTCTG